CCCCAAAACCCCAAAACCCCAAAACCCCGTAATCTTACAATAGTAATCAATTTTCAATATAAAATTAGATTTCATTTCAATTTCTGCTAGTATAATACAAAACCTTAGTAAATATTAATAGCCTTATTTGTACTTGTACTGTTAATAATTAGAAATAAATTAAAACAAAGTTAACTTACCTAAATATCTCTATATGACTTACATTCAGGACAATTCAAAGGAAATGAGAACATTCAAGTTGGATGAACCAGAGCACGATATGGGTAAGTACTTTGGCAGAGTTCAGCACTTTTTCAACGTCTTTAACCCAATGTAAGTAAAGCGAATAATCAGAAGAGGGTGTCGGAATAACTCAGACATCATTACAAGGATGATTTTATCATTAAAGACCACACTTGATATTTAATATTCTGTCCTATAGGAACTCACTTTACACAAATGACTAAGTCTCATCTATGCAGAAGTAGCTTGAGAAGTAGAGACAACTTGAGAGAGAGGAAGCAACATATGGAAGAAGTGTTATGTTAACTGAGGCAGAGATTAAGCAACTTAGAAAATGGAAGACTATAGTAAATGCATCAATCCATCCAGACACCAATCAGCCAGTACCTTGGGTTATGAGAATGTGTGCCTTTGTCCCAACTAATCTACCCATCATCTTTGGTATGTTGATGACTCCACCAACTCCTATGAACACTGCTTTCTGGTAATGGATAAATCAAACCTACAATGCAGGAATGAATTTTGGCAATAGGAATGCATCATCCTAGTAGACTACATCTGATATTCTATTTGGTTATACTGCTGCAGTAACTTCATCTATCACCATCAGTGTTGGTTTGAGAAAACTTTCACACAATATGACTAAGGGACTTCAAGGAGGTATGGCTGTTCTTGCCACTAGCATCATTAGTTATTTAGCAGTAGCTTCAGCTGGTTTCTTGAATACATATTGCATGAGAATGGGAGAAATGAAGAGAGGTATAAAGATATTTGACGAAAGTGGAGAGGCTATGGGCATTTCACAAGAGTGTGCTAGAAAAGCAGTTCTTCAAACTTCTTTCTCAAGAATGGCTCTATCTTTCCCTATTTTCATTTTACCAGGAGTTTCAATGGCTCTCTTAGATAAATTCAAGATGATTCCAAAGTCAAGAGGACCAAAGACCCTTCTTGAACTTACTGTGATTGCTTTCTCACTCTGGATAGCACTCCCAATTAGTGTTTCACTCTTCCCACCTAGGGGTGAAGTTAAGAGTAATGAAATCGAATAAGAATTTGCAACAATGAAGAACTCAAAAGGATAAATTGTGGAAAAATACTACTATAACAAGGGGCTTTGAACATATACAATCGAATATGAGCCTTGTTTTATTTGGACGTTGGTATTAAAACTTAAGAGTTATATCATTTAATATCTTTAATAAGAACTTTAAGATATATACAGAAATCAAACTCATTATGAGATATTTTCACTCAGAATAATTTTTTTCTCATTTATTATTATCACTTTCTGGCTTTACAACTTTCTTTATACATTTGAAAGCATTCTCATTCTCTGTGTAACATCTACTCTAATTTTATTCTGTATTTTGTTTTGGATCTGGCTTTACTTTGCCATCTTAATCAAGGTATACCTTTACGCAATCATACTGATCTGCTAGTTCAGTCCAGCAAGCGAATCTAATATTCTCCTCAAGACCTTCAACTTTTTTATGACACTCATTCCTTTCAATCAATTTGTCATCACAGGGCTAAAGCTTTTTAGTCTCACATTCTTTAAGATAATACTCTTCCACATAGCAGTAAAATGGAGCTAATTTTGTTGAATATGACTTAGTTCGTTTGAGGCCATCTAGATTGTGAGTCATGAAGAAGTTGACTAGAGTCAGGATGCAAAATGTGAATACTATTCCAAAGTAGATAAAACACTTTGTGATATTTTTCATTTTGAATTACTAAATTTTGATAATTGATTAATATCGAGGGGGTTTTGGGGTTTTGGGGTTTTGGGG